AGGAATAGTGTCTAGTGCAATACAAATAGGAACAGAATCCTGACAGCAGGTGAACAATGTGCTATGCTTCCATCCTGTCACTGGGAAAGAAGCGCTTTTGCCTTAAAACTGTCTTAAGATAGGAAAGCAGTAGCTCTTATCTTCACCCATTCCTGTTTGTATAGCAAAATATGGTGATGGATTAAACTTTTAGAAATATGACCTTTAATTTAAGTTCTGCAGTACTTCTACGTATTTCTTTAGAGGCATCTTTGTCTTGGCTGCAAAATATTCAACGCTGTCGTAAGTTTACATATGCAAGAGCCAGACTGGAGAATTTTGATATATTGTGGGTTTTTTTTCTTTAATTCTTTTAAATTCTTTTAAAGAATCCTAAATCTGATAATGGGGTAGTAATATATAAGCAAGCAAGAGAATCAACATACTGTTTTAAAATTTAGAAATAATTTAAAATACAGATGTATTTTCATAGATAGGAAAAATAAGCCATTTCTTCCATCAACATGTTTCTGAGTAATAGAGATCCCAGGATATTCTGAAATTATTCCTTTTGATTCAGAACTGGATTTACTTAAATTAAAACTAAATCAATGGGATAATTAACTACTGTGTTAAACTGATGACATATTTCTAGTTTGAACCAGCCTTCCCTCAAGTATGGCGGCTGGATCCTGTTACACCTTTCTCACTAAGAATGAAAAGCCTACTATTACTTTCCTCAGTTAAGCATTACTGGACTTCAAGTTGCCTTGTCCTGGAAACCTTCATTATGAAGTGTATTCCAAAATGCTTATCACTTTGGTGATATGTTTCAATGAAACATTAACCAGTAGACTTGAACCACAGATACCAGAATTAGGCATGATGTTGCAGAAGTGATCACACCATTGCGAAGTAGCTTCAGGATTTATGCTTAAGATTTCCTATTTACGTGTGCTTCTGACTTCTAGGTCTTTCTGGAAGCTTAAATTAATCAAGACAACCAAGGCTGCAGAAAGACAGCCAAGTCTTTCCTGGACAGTTACTTCTACATATTGCTTATGTCTATTGCATGTGATTTCTGTCCTCTGGTTCTAGATATGGCTCTGCTTGTTCCACTCCACTTTTTGGGGGATGTATGGTGATGATTCCAACAGCTTGGGGATGCTTTAGAGTTCAGACTTTCCTGCATTGCAAAGATGGCCTGCAGCTGCTTTCAGTCTCCACTGAAACTTGGATTTCTTTTCATAAATGATACTTACTTCAGCCTTCTGTGTTGCATTTCAGTCTCCTATCTAAATACCACATTTCACAGGATTTGATTGAAAACACAGCTTTTCTTTTTACTTGAATTGCAAATTTATCTTATCTTCATGCTGCGTGGTGTTCTCATAGTGGTTAGTCTGGGGAGGAAACTGTATTTTGTGTTTATGTGGAGCACGACAATAGAATTTGCGTTACACCAGGCTTTACTGAATGGCCTGTATGTGGCAGCTGTAGAGATGCTGGTGGTCTAATCCACTTGCAGTCTACATAAATTAAATCCAGACCTAGGTAATTAAATATTCTAGCCAAATAGTCCAGTTACAGTTGACAATAGCATGAATAGCAGGCAGGAGCTAAAGCTTGTAACTAACTAAAACATAAAAAGAATAAAAGGTCATATATGTGCTTTGGAAGAATCCATAGTGAAGTTAAAATCCCTCCAGATGAAGTGTGTGTGTGGAGTGCCTTAAAATATCTTTGCTTGTGGATGAGACAGAAGGCTGCAGCAAGTATATTGAACTGGAGAGTTATTAAGAACAAGCAGCTGTTCAGTTATGCTTTAGTGACATGATTTAGTAATTTCTGTTGGCATCATGAACTCCAAGTTAATCAATATTTGCATATAAAGAACTGTTCTTTCTTTGAAACTAATGTAAACCCTAAAATATCTTTCAAAATATACTAAAGGCTTGGTCTGCAAGCAGTCTTTACAGACTGTGTTTTGAAAGACAGACGTTTTCTGTGCCTAACGTTCAGCGCTTAGCTGGTATATGAAGTATCCTCAGTTGTGCCTTACTACAGTAAGAAACGGTATTAATGTTGGGAATAAACTGGCAAATACAAACATCATCTGGTATGTGCTTGCAGAATCTGGTAATGTGGAAAGTCTAGGCAAATGGCAATGTCTATAATATTCACATGCCTTTTTTTCTGAGAGGGTAAGAAGTTGCCTGTGTTCAGTTTATTTCTCAGAGGCAAAAGTATTCTTTTTCTCCCTTAAGAAATAAGGGAGCACTTAATTTAGCTGGATCAACTGCGTCAGCACTGAACTTTTTGCTCTGCCTCTTCCACCTAAAAGTTGTATAAAGTGTTTTAAAGTACAGAACACATCCAGTGAAAGAAATAGTTTCATTTGACACTTGATTGTAATTTCCTTTTTAAGCTCCAAACTATATTGGCTGAGACAGTTTGATTTCCTGTATTCTTTTCTGAACATCGATGTTGAAATACTTGTCATAAAATAAATTCTCATCTCTGCAGTAGAAACACATACTCGTCTTGAACTATCCTCCTATACCATGCTAATATTTCGGGATTGTTTTCTTGTAGTGACCATTGATCTTCTCCAAATAGTATTTTAATAGCTAATATTCTGTTGAAGTAAACAGACTGTGACACTAATACCTGTAAATGCTTTCTTTCTCAGATTGTTAACTTGTGGGACAAAGCTCTTGCAACTCTGGACCTCACCACATCCGCATACATCAGGGATGGCCAGTAAGAAAGGAAATATGGACAGAATAGTATTGCAGGTTATATATAATTCTGACTTGATCTGACTGTGTTTTGTTTGAATATTGTGACTTGTAACTCTTACATGAGTGGTAATAGATCAATTAATATTTTGGAAAGAGCGTAAATATTACCAAGTGATATTTGAAAGCTGTTATAGAATAGAGTTACTAAGCATTAAGGCAAAGAGTGGAAAGCTGCTTTAAGTGTATACAAGTCAGTTATTGAATCACTATCTTGAAGTAAGAGAAATTGAAGATGCCTTGGTAGTACATGCTATCAGTACTGGGAGAGAACATCTTTTCAAAAAGCAGGCTGTGTATGCAGAGATGGGAGTTGTCTAGACCCAAAAAAATAGCAATTCCAGTTTCTTGTAAGAACATAAGCACTTCTCCTTCTACATTCAGAGTCCAAATTTCTCTTGGAAGAAGAGGCACCTTGTTAGGCATGGCTTAGCAGTCCCAAAACGTGGTCGGGGTTGCTTGAGTTGAAACCACTGGTGCAGATTTTAATAATTCCATGATTAGTCTCCGCTCTAAGCATTCTCACTTCACGTCTGAGTACTCCCAACTACTGGATCGTGCAACAACACAGTTGACATGTTTAAAGATCATAGTTATGTAGAAGAATTGAGGTAGAAAAAAATATTCAGGAAACTATCTGAAAACTGTTACCTGTGTAGAACTAAAGACTTCAGATGCCTAAACTTCCGAGGTTGCTGGAAGGGGAAACTTTAATCTCTTTGGTTGTTGTTTTCTTTTTTTTCAGATTGACTTCCCATCCCATGCTTTTGATATTGAATATAAAATTCCTCAAGCTGCAAAGACTACTGTGCATCATTCCATAGAAACATTAGAAAAACCATTAAGAGAACGCCTCCTTGCCATTCTCTTGAAGGACAGCACTATAGGGTATGTTCATCTCCTTCTAGCTATGGTCTCTTTTCTATGTGATAATTTCTGGCTAGGGTATGGAAGGCCTACTTTATTCTTAAATTTCTTTAATGTAGTTCTAGTATATTTTGAAGACCTGTTGAGACTCGAACAAGAGATTGAATTAAACTTGTGAAATAATGATGCTGACTTAATGAATTTACTTGTGCTTTCCATGGCTGGTGTCATAATATTGTCCTGTTACAAGATTGCTACCCTTTTGGCTGCCTGTTATATATTCCTGCTTGGCAGCTCTTCAGTTACAGGGACCAGTGGCTGTTCATAAGCCATGAAAGCTTTTCTGGCAGGCTTTCACACTCATCTACAGCTAAAATTAACATTTTGGTTTATTTCAGAATATGCTAAAACTTATAATTTGGGCAGGACAAAATATAACTTTGAACAACTGTTTCCATAATGTTTGAGGCTTTATTTTGCTTCTCATTTTGACTTTTGTGGAGGAAATACCTGTTTTGATTTCATTCCATTTTGTGTGTTAAATTATCTGTACATATACAATGACCAGTAGCATTAGGGTTATTCAGGTGATGGTCTGTAATATGTGTTATAAACTAAAATGCTTTTATCTGTAGGCTATCAAAAGAAGATAAAGAATTTTTGTGGGACAAGAGACATTATTGCCATAGTCATACTAGTAGCCTACCAAAAATATTGGTTAGTGCTCCTCACTGGGACTGGGCAAGTCTTCCAGAAATATATTCATTACTTCAGCAGTGGCCTCCTTTATCACCCTTAGCTGCGCTGGAACTACTTGATTCAAAGTAAGAAAAACAACGTAAATAAGTTCTCTCTGTGCATTGTGCATTAAGTGACTTTTCTTCAGTAGAAGATTCTGAATGGCGTTCTTGTGGAAAATATTGCTGAATTTCTTGTACCAAAAGCTAAATTTTCTTTAAATATTCAAGAACATGTGCTTACTTTATTCCTATAGCCTTTACCAAGTCATGTAGTGAAAGAATAGCAAGTGTGGTTAGGATTCTGAAATCTAATTTGCAACAGGAGAGCAAAGCTGTACAGCCAAGCTATCAAGATTGAGGTTTTGAGAGATCAGTGTGCTTGTCCCAAACATGCTCATGTGTTTGTATCTTAGGTAATGAAGGGCCTCAAACTTGTAGGTCCTTTATTGACCTGTTAAAGTCGCTGTTTTTTTTTTATTTTGTATCTAGCTGATCTCAAAAAAGAAAAAAAAATAACACCTCTATGTGAACAGAATAAACTTAACAAGGATTTGTGGTGACTTTCTAGGTTTGCTGATCAGGAAGTACGAAATACAGCTGTGAATTGGATAGACACATTAAGTGATGATGAGCTAACAGATTTCCTCCCTCAATTCGTGCAGGTAAGACTTTCTCCCTACACTGAAGTTTGAATTTTTTTGCTCTTGAAAACCCGAAGGAATTACTGATTGCTAGTAGCAGAAGTGCAACGATGTTCCTCTATACTTAACAACCTTAATGCGTAGTAGGGAAAACAATTTGAGTAAATAATCGCTCTGTGACCATCCTATGGATTTGTCGTGATTCTGTCTGTGCATTAGTCATAAAATCTCAGTCTTCATCTAGAATTAAATTCAGACCCAATTTATTTTGTTTTCTTTGTGTGTAGGCATTGAAGTATGAAACTTACCTTGACAGTGCTCTTGTCAGATTTCTTTTGGCTCGGGCGCTGGGAAGCATTCAAATAGCACACTACCTGTATTGGTAAGATGTTCTTTGTTCCATTGTTCATGTGATATGTTTCCCATGAGATTACTATTTCCAGCAAAAAATATTATTTCTTAATATTGTAGTTCATAACAATGAGTGTTATGAATGTAGAGTAAACAAAATGTGGATCCTGTTTTTTTCATGAAAACACAGACAGTTCCTCTACGAGGCACAAACTTCTTGCCTTTTTATATCCTGTGTATCAGTAACTTGAGATAAACCTAGTATTGATTCATTAAAATGTTTTAATGTCTAAATATTGCATTGTTTGCAGTATTTTTCGTAGGAAAAACTAACTTATATCCTTTATTTCAGGCTTCTTAAGGATACACTGTATGATACAAAGTTTGGTGTAAGGTATGAGCAAATTCTTGGAGCTTTTCTTTCAATCTGTGGAAAAAGGCTGAGGGAAGAGCTGGAGAAGCAGACCAGACTAGTGCAACTTTTTGGAATGGTAGCAGAAAGAGTAAAGCAAACAAGTGGATCTGCTCGGCAGGTGTGTATATATTTCTAATATTCTTCAGTAAGATTAGGCTGAGTATACCCTCAAAACAATCCACTTAATTGCTTTTTTTAGTCTGAGTTTAGTAAAATGCTATATGTAATATATAGGAAGATCTGTGAATCTATTGCTCTGTTTTAACAAATTAATGGCTTAATGAAGTTGATATTTTTGTCAAATTTATTGTAATCTGCAACATAAGATTGTGTGAGGTGATAAGGTAAGAAAGTAGGATGATTTCTGTGTACAATAAACTGGGACTGGATTTAAACATATTACTGCTGAAGAGTGATCCCATTATGCAAAAGAATGGAATATCTGTTTATATGCTAATAATATGAATTTACAGTTTATCTGATAAAGTGGGATGCTATCATCTGGTTCAGTTAAAAAAACAACAAAAAAAACCACCCACAAACTTGTGTCATGCCTATGCATGCTTGTGCATTTTTAATAGCTAAAATAGCAGTTACCATTTCTAGCATTCATTTGACACTGAGGAGTTATAACATTGGTTTCAGGTTAACTTTGTCCAGAAGTTTTCTGTAGATGCTTCAGTTGGGACAGTATTGCTGAATTTTTTTTTTTTGTCTACAGGCTGCCTTGCAAAACGGTATGGAGCATGTGCAGTTATTTTTCTTGAAGAACAAATGCCGTTTGCCTCTCAATCCCAGTCTTGTGGCAAAAGAGCTAAATATTAAGGTACTACACATTCAGCGTTTCAAAACCTTTTTGTAAAAATTACATGTAGGCAAAGCTTTTACAAATAAAAAAACTCAGTTGAGGTGCTTGAAAGCTCTTTATGCTGAGGGCAAAGGGTTTATTTAAAAATTCAGATTAAACAAGGCAGAGAAATTAGCTGAGCAAAGATAAAGTTTATACAGATACTTGTGTAAAACCAATGAAGGTACTTGTATTTAAAACAAATGTATCTGGAATAACTTACTATTTCTTCAGACTATGTCTCTTTGGAGACCAGAAATCCTGGTTATAGTAAAGCAGGGTTCTATTCAAAGTGCATGAAAAAATCTGTTTGCAGTAGTAACCAAAAGAGAAAATTGAGCAAGGCTATAAAGCTCAAACAGTGAGTGGATACTATGAAGTAAGTGAAACTACCTGGTACTGTTTGTGTCCAAGAGATGCACTGAATCCAGGGAGGCAGACAGTAGCTTTAACTTACTGTGAAGGTCCAGCAAGAAGTAATGTAGGAGAAGCAGGTAAATTATTTTTCCAGAACTCTGCAGAGTTCGACAATATCTGCTCAACCACAACCTTGATTGTATCATCATGCATGACTGAGAACCTAAAGGTCTGTGAACATTGGATTTAATCCTGAGTGGAGAGACTGTTCCTCTTGCTTTCTTTCTCTTCTGTAACTATTAAATCATGAGTGTGTACTTGAAAGCAGATAAATAAGAAAATACTGTGAAATGTGCAAATAGCCGTTTTTCTTTATAATATCTTCTAGGTTTCAAAAAAAGCTGCTGATAAAATATTTAGCCATGTTTTATTCATTCTTCCCTTCAAAAAGTATAACACATCGCTGTGCAGAACTACTGGCTTCTGTACAAGAATTCACTGATTAAGAGCCAAAGGGCTCTTTATTCAAAGGAAGCACGTATCCGCCACAATTGCAGTGTTAGACATCTGAATAGGCACATTGTGTGTCAGACCTGCTTGTTGTCAGAATGTCTTGTTTTCTAGGCTAGCAGGAATAGTCTGCTTTGAGTATTAACACTACATCTATTTGTAGGCCTGTTCTTTCTTCAGCTCCAATGCAGTACCACTGAAAGTTGCGCTGATAAATGCAGACCCTCTGGGAGAAGAAATTAATGTGATGTTTAAGGTACGCCTTAAATATGCAGTGGAGAAAAAAGTTGAAGATAATCAGTATTTCATTGATTTCAATTAACTTTAGCTTAGACAATAAGCTCAGTTATTTTGAGAGTTTGCTCCTGTCTTTCTAGAAACCAATGTCTGAACAGGTTGTAAAATGTGAAAGTCAGTCTACTGCATGTGAAAGCTTAGATGTACCCTATTCCCCCTTTCAAGGGCATAGCTATGAAAAAGTAAGTAGCGTAATATATCGCTTCCTAGAAACGTGAAGGAATTAATCTGAAGTTCAGTTTTGCTGAAAGCATATTATCCCTCTAGTTTAAACTCTTATTTTTCCATTTAAGGTTGGAGAAGATCTGAGACAAGATATGTTGGCTTTACAAATGATTAAGATTATGGATAAGATCTGGCTGCAGGAGGGACTGGATCTACGGATGGTCATCTTCAAGTGTCTCTCAACTGGAAAAGACCGAGGTGCAAAACCAGATGCTGCCTATAATCTTTGCTCCACCACTTCAGTTTCTTGTCACACTGATAGTGAAAAATTTCTGTGCACAGGCAGGCCCGAGAAACAGCGGAAGGCCAGAAGCCTTCCATGCAAGGAAGAGTATAGCAAGTTAAATTGTTCTGAATATTGTAATCAAGAATAGTATTAATTGTATCAAGAATAGTGTGACCAGCAGGAGCAGGGAAGTGATCCTGCCCCTGTACTCGGCACTGGTGAGGCCGCACCTGGAATATTGTGCCCAGTTTTGGGCCCCTCGCTTGAAGAGAGATATTGAGCTCCTGGAGCGAGTCCAAAGAAGGGCGACTAAACTGGTCAAGGGGCTGGAAAATAAAACTTATGGGGAGTGACTGAGGGAGTTGGGGCTGTTTAGCCTGGAGAAGAGGAGGCTGAGGGGAGACCTGATTACGGCCTATAAATACTTGAGAAAAGATGGTGGGGAGGTGGGGGAAGGGCTCTTTACATTAGTGATGGGTGATAGAACAAGAGGAAATGGGCATAAGCTTAGTCAGGGGAGATTCAGGTTGGATGTTAGGAAGTATTTCTTCTCTGAAAGGGCTGTCAGCCACTGGAATAGGCTGCCCAGGGAGGTGGTTGAGTCCCCATCCCTGGATGTGTTTAAGAATAGGGTGGATGAGCTACTTGAGGATATGGTTTAATGGGGATTAGGGATGGTTGGACTCGATGATCTCTAAGGTCTTTTCCAACCTAGAAATCTATGAATCTATGAATCTATGAATTTCCTGATTGCTGAGTTGCATTTAAATGTGTTTCTTCTCTTGAATCCTGAGATTCTTATGCCTTCTGTTGTCAATGAACAGTGGTGCAAACAAGTAAATATAATGATAAAAGCTATGGTTTCTCTTGTTGCCCTTACTGCAACACAAGCAAAGAATGGTGCCATAGCAGTCCTGATTCTGAAAGTTTAGTTACGGTGTAGAGAGTATTCAAGTCAAAACTGGAATTCTGAAGTGTTTGGAATCTGCTGTAGTTGAGTCAGGGAGTAGGATTCATGTACTGAAACGTGCAAAAAGAAGAAAACTTTGAAACACCCCACCCACACACACACTATCTCAGAGAATTCCTGTCATATGCTGGTAAAATTTCCTTTGGAATATAAGGCTGTCTTTTAAGTTTGAAACTAGGTCGCAGAACTCTGAGTGCAAATACCACCCTGCACCTTGAACATGCTTTTTACTGGTTTTCACTAGTTCTCTAGAGCTAGCCAGTAGGAACCACAAGATCTTTAAGAGGCTAAACAATAACTTAGATATTTCTTCAGTCAGATGCTAGAACAGCATGATGGAAACTTAAATACGTGGAAACATTGGAAATTTAGGTTGGCAAAACTAAGCAAAAAGCTTCTATTTGTGTAAGGCTTGCTTTTTAGAGAAACAGATGGCTTTTCTTCCTACTTTGAATGATGACTTCATTGCATATCATGTTACACTTTTTTGTTGCTGCTAATAGTAGTATTCCTGAAGTATTTGAAGGATTAAAGTGAAAAAGAAGAATGGAGGTAAATTACAGATTTGCCTTTAGTGGCTCTTGCCAAGACAGAAGTAAAATTCTGTTAATCAAATAAATGTTTTCCTTCTATGATTTATCTGTACAAATATTTTTAGTAAATGGTATCTCCAAAATAAGGCCACGTGTAAAGCCCACTGCTTTATTTCTGGAGCAACAATCTGGTCTATTTCAGCACTTGACAGCAGTTAAAGTTACTAGATGACTTAAGCGTCAGTGTATGAGAAACATCAGCATGAAAATATTCAGCAGTTACTGCTTAGGCGCCAAAACTAGTTTATGTAGTTGAAAGTAATTATTCAAAGTATAATGTACATGTGCATTCTAGCAACTGTAACTAATTGTAGTAAGGTAAGCCTGACTTGGATTGCTACGTGTGTTTCATCGTATGCTTTGTAATATGGGCTGTGGAAACACTTAGTAGACTAGTAGCACTATTTTTACACCTAACTGGGTTTTGAAAAAAGCTATTCTAAGATTATAAAATCCATCATTGTCAAGAAAGTTTCTGGTGAATAATGAAAGTGCAGTATAACTTAAGGAGATGGTTAAATACACTTTGTTATGTTTTATATAAAGGCATGGTAGAGCTTGTTCCTGCTTCAGATACACTTAGGAAAATTCAAGTGGAATATGGAGTGACGGGTTCTTTTAAAGACAAGCCTCTGGCAGAATGGCTGCGGAAGTATAATCCTACAGAGGAGGAATATGAAAAGGTAACTTTTTTCAGTGCTGTGCTTCTTTTGAAGATCTCTTAAAAGGGATAAATACTGTCTTCTGAAAGAATGAAAACCTTATTTCAGATCTTCCATTGAAATATTTGGTTTGTATCTTTAGGAAACTTAATTTTTTCCTATACTTGAAAAAGAGCAAATGAAAATCCCTTATATAACTAAAAAGGAGCCAGATGAATTCTCGGGATTCACATCAAGAGGTTTTTATTAGACATAGAAAAAATGTACTTCAAATTTAAGATAGACAGGAATGGTAGCTGCTCTTTATGTGGTTTAGGAGCAGTGGCCTCTTCTCATACAAGCACATTGAATTAAAAAAAAAATATTTTCTTTTGGCCACAATGCTGTTACAACACATTGAAAAAATAAGTCTTGTACCCTTTTCTTTGCGAACATGTCTATTTTTTTGTGATTTGTCTTTAACTCCTCTTTTCTTTCATTTATTAAAAAAAAAACACAACCATTTTTGCTGGAAAGTGTGATATCTAAAGATTTTTTTAAAGCTATCTGTTTAAAGAAAACGCTTTTGGAAAAAAAGCAAATTTTTAGGTCCTGTCTTGTCTGGCTTGGATTTTACCCTTGTCTAGGCTGACTGTTGAATGCATGCATGCTGTTTTCCCACTGATATTTGATTTCAATTCACTTTTTTCTCTCCCTCCCAGGCTTCAGAAAACTTCATTTACTCTTGTGCAGGATGTTGCGTAGCTACTTATGTGTTGGGAATTTGTGACCGCCACAATGATAACATAATGCTTCGAAACACAGGGCATATGTTTCACATTGACTTTGGAAAATTTTTGGGTCATGCACAGATGTTTGGCAGCTTTAAAAGGTATTTTCTGTAGCTAAACAATGTAGAGAATGAAGTTATTTTTAGTGTACTTCTATAAGCATTATAATTCTAAGCATTAACTTTTGAATTCCTGTTATCTACTGTTCTCGTTATGAAGCCAACATCTTCCAATTTAACCATAGAGGTTCCAGAATGCATTCGAACTTACCTGTTTAGAATTAATTTTGAAAAAGCTCCAGCTTCCTATTTCTATATTCTGATATCTGGAACTGTTTTAAGTGAAAGCACACAGGCATAATTTTGAAATAAAATTACTGTTCTAGCTACTAGTAGATTGAAATAAGGAATTTGGTCTCCTAAACATCGTTAAACTTCAGTGCTTCCAAACTGCATTCATTCCTTAAGAGCTTTGTGCTATTCACACTTGGCAAATCTCGATGGGAATTTCTTTACAATAGATATGAAAGCCAAGTATTTTGGCCCAGGAAAAGATTAATATAATTTTTTATTTATGTCTGGGAGCCTTAACTCTAACACAAATCTTGGTGTCATGCTTTTCCAGAAGTATTGGTTAAAACTGTACTGTAGTTTCACCTTTTAGCTATTCATGCAATTATGTATTGCATGCTTATTAGGTAAACTTTATCAATGAATGAGAAACTAAGTGCCAGAACCTTTAGGTCATCTGAATATCTGTGTGTGAAACGAATGAGAAAAGACTGGCTTAAAAACAGTACTGAATGTCAACATTATAGGAGAAGACTGAACAATGAGTTTGTATTTACTATTCTTCTGTGTTGGGAAGATAATTTATATCCAGGATAGAGGAGTTATGTTTTAGTCAGGTGATAATATAGTCATTCCATTTGTTTTAGTGTGTTATGGCTTCCAGAAATGAGGGATGGAAGGCATTGTAAGGTAATCTGGCCTCCAAGCATTGCTCCAGGAGATCTGCTGTAGGTCCAGTACCATGTGAATGGGCTGGGAATCTGAGATAGCACTAAGCAGCTGAACCATCCCAAAAAAGTAAAACGGCATTAATGGATTATTTAATATGATTACCTCGGGGTGGGGATGGAGGGGAGTGGGAGGCACGTTGACAGAGTGAATAGACCTTATAATTGACTTATGAATTCTGTGCTTTTTGAACAGGGATCGAGCTCCTTTTGTGCTAACATCAGATATGGCTTATGTCATTAATGGTGGTGAAAAACCCACTATTCGCTTTCAGTTGTTTGTGGATCTCTGTTGCCAAGCTTACAATTTGATAAGAAAACATGCAAGCCTCTTCCTTAACCTGCTTTCATTGGTAATCACTTTATTAAATTCAGTTGAAACTTGATAGATCTGTCGTGTTGCGTTGTGTTAAATGCTATGCTTTTTATGCTGCAGGAACTCTTAATGCTTGCTTTTAAAAGCCAGAAACATCAGATGTACTTTTTAGGAAGGTTGTCTTTGGCATTTTTTAAGTGTTTTTGCTATCTACCTGTTTCCTGAAAATTTAAAACTAGGATGACAACATAAATTGCACTGCAAAGTGTTTTTTTTAAACTGCTTTTAATTCAGCAGAAATGGTGAATAACTGCTGATTATAAGTAATTGTTCGCTACCGCTGTTAGCACTTAGCAATTTAGTGCAGCTCCAAATGAATTTGAGGGTCTAAGTTTTAATCATTTCAATGTAAAATCATATTGATTTTATTGCATTAAAACTGTAAATTTAAATTTCTTGCAGATGCTTTCTTCTGGGCTACCAGAACTAAGTGGGGTTCAGGACTTGAAGTATGTCCAAGATGCTCTCCAGCCCCAAACAACAGATGCAGAAGCTACCATTTTCTTTACAAGGTACTGGATAAGTGAAAACTAAAATATTTGCCAGCATCATCCTCTTAATGGGAGCTTTCTGCTATGAAAAAATGCACTATGGATGTTCACAAACATGTCTGTAGAGGTTGAATAGTTACCCTGTGCAATCATAAAATATCAGTTAACCAGTGAACTACATAAATAAGATCACTTTCATGTAAGATTAATGCTTGTGCTAAAATACTTTGCCTTTAAGAGTAACACAGAATCACAGAATGTCAGGGATTGGAAGGGACCTCAAAGGATCATCTAGTTCAATCCGCCTGCCGGAGCAGGACCACCTAGATCAGATCACACAAGAACAGGTCCAGGCGGGTTTTGAACATCTCCAGAGAAGGAGACTCCACAACCTCTCTGGGCAGCCTGTTCCAGTGTTCTGCTACCCTTACTGGGAAGAAGTTCTTCCTCATGTTTAAGCAAAACCTTGTGCAAAAACTTGTTTGAAATACTGTGAGAAGATAATTCTGTCTGGCTGTTTGAGACTTGCATTTTGAATACATCCTAGATTGTTTAATAGCAGTGTATATGATGGAAACCTTTTAATGCATGCAAAGAAGTTCTGTCATTGAAGAAGTGTTTTTGCACACTGGGGAGGGAGGGATGATGCTCCAGTGTAGCAAGTGAAGGTGTGTATATATTCAGTGTTAACTGAATTGTTATATGTTAGTGTTTCGTTTTAAATGTAGGGGGCAAACTGCAGTAGTATGCATGCAATCACTTCTTGGATAACAACCTGTTCCAAAGTTTGGATATTGAATCTTCTATTAAATGCTGATATGATGCTATTTATATAGCCCATTGATCACACTTAGTTTAAAAACTGTTTCTCTGACAGTAAGAAGTTGGTTTTTATTTTTCTTTGACTTAAGTCTGATTCATTGACAGAACTACTTTTGTGGTTTTTATTTTTTTTCTTTTCTAGGTTGATCGAATCCAGTCTGGGAAGTGTTGCCACAAAGTTCAATTTCTTCATTCACAATTTGGCTCAGCTGCGTTTCTCAGGTCTACCTTCTAATGATGAACCCATCCTCTCATTTTCTGCCAAAACATATTCTCTTAAACAAGATGGCCGAATCAAACAAGTGTCTGTGTTTACATATCAGAAGAGATATAACCCAGATAAACATTATGTAAGTATGTGGAATCTGTTTCCACTCAGTGAAGATACTGTGCATTTTCTTCCAGCAAGATACGTTCTCCTTGTTGCCATAAGTTCAGTGCTTAATCACAGAGAATTAGTCCAGGGGAAACCTGCCTTGTTTAGCCTTAGGTGGCTAGCTTTGTGGTAGACAACTAGGTTCCTTCTATTGACAGAGACTTACTAAATTCAACCATAGATACTTATTGTTCATTTGGGCACTAATGTCAGATTTAGGATGAGCTGACGAATTTTCTGAAGTCTGGTCGCTTTGGCTACAATGGCAGCCTAGAAACTCACGCCAGCGTTGACACCCAACACTAAGCCTCACTGTGGATGACTTGAAAGTGAAAAGAAAACCTGTAATTGAACTCTAGATGGGAATGGGCCTGCTTCCTTGCTTCCTGGAGAAGCCCAGAGTTGTACTGTGTCTGGCTAGGATGGAGCTACCTTTCTTCATGTCAGCCCACACAGTGCTGTGTTTTGGATGTTTAACTAATACCATATTGAAAACACACCAGTGGTTTGGCTGTTGCTGAACAGTGCTTGTGCAGTGTCAAGGCTTTCTCTTCCACTTTGCCCCTTCGTCCCGGCTCCACTGAGTAGGCTGTGGGTGGGCAAGAAGCTGGGAAAGAACACAGCAGGGACAGCTGACCCAAACTGGCCAAAGAGGTACTCCATAGCGCATAGTGTCATGCTCAGCAATAAAAACTGGGGATAGAGGAAGAAAGAGGGGAGTGGGAGGATGTTGTCTTCCAAGGTGCCTGTTGCTTGGGGACTAGCTGGGCATGGGTCTGCTTGTGGGAGGTGGTGAGAGATTCTTTGCATCATCTCCCTTCCCAAGGACTGTCTTTATGTCAACCCACAAGTCTTCGCACTTTTGCTTTTGTTCTCTCCCCTGTCCTGTTGGTGAGGGGGTGGGAGTGAGCAAGCAGCTGTGTGGGTGCTTAGCTGCTGGCCAGGGTAAACCAACCACAGGAGTGCTAGAGCACAGGTTGGTATTGGCATTCAATAATATTCTTCAAAATTAAGACACTTCTTCAAAAGAATCTAGGAGGAAGCAGAAAGGACAGAAGTAGCGTTGGTGGAGATAATGTATAAAAAATGAGGATTTGAGTCACATTTATGTGCTTCTGTAGCCATTTTCTGTAAAATGGCTCCTTCCTGAATACGAGTCATTAAGTCAAACACTTTGGGTTTGTTCTGACCTTCCATTAAAGTTATATTTGCTCCTCCTAAGTAAAAACATAATTTCCTTTATTAATGCACCTACACCCCTCGTCAGTCTTACTAGAGGCAGCAAGCGTTACAACTTGCCCTCAGGATTTTGGTAGACCTGAGTTACACTTCATGACTTGTATTAATATTCATATACCTAGGCAGATGTGCAACTATCTTCAATTTATTTATTTATTTTTTTATTTCTCTACTGCTGTTTGTTTGGCCCCAAACAGTCAGCTCCAGTTACGTTTTCCTCAAGTTGTTTAAAAAGTGATGTATATTGATATATGCAAATGTACATCTCTTTCCAAGTTGCATCTGCTGTATATGTTTAAATCTGGTAAAACACCAGCTAGGGAGGGTAGAACAAAGCTGAAAAATGCTAGAAATGAAGAGGATCTTTGTACTGAATCACTCCTGGTCTAAGCCAAAACAGCCTCTTACCTTCCAGGAAACTGTTAAGATGATGTAGACTCCCTCTGGCTAGATTTTTAAACATCTTCCCAGTTCCATATTTTTTAGATACACATTTAACTCGTCTGCCCATAAAATGTGTCCACTGAATTGACTTTTCTGTGCAATTTCTCAACCTTCATTTCCCTTTCATAATGATGTGAATAACTGCATCCTGGGACTGTACCCACAGTATTTTTAAAAATTCCTTTTGTATAATGTGGTACATCTGCATCTGCCCACCAAATTATCACTTTAAAAGTGGAATCCTTTAGAATCTTGAGAGAATTAGATTTTTTTTTTTAAAAAAAAGCATTAGTTTCTTTCATAGTCCACACCTGAAAAGCTTTGTCGTAGTTCTGGCCCTACAGATACGTGTCTAGATGTAATCCTGCACTGATGTGTTAAAATTTGGTACGCGTGTTATATGGTATGAACTTACAATGAGGCTTAAAAGGGAGAATGCAGACAGCTTAGCCGTAACTACCTTTATCCCTCTGTCAGGTGCGGATCTATGTTATAGGAAGATCATGTGATGATACTTTACGTTACAGTAGGGCTATTTATAATAATTCTACTATAAAATGCAAATACTGGTACTGGGATATGTATGCAGGAGAAGGATTACCATAGAGTTAATTGTCAAGAAAATGATATTAAGTCAGTTCTGTAACGTTGTTACTACTTTTATCTTTTGGTTTTTTGTGTGTTTTGGGCAGATCTACGTAGTGAGAATTTTGAGAGAAGGACAAGTTGAGCCAACATTTGTCTTCCGAACATTTGATGAGTTCCAGGAGCTCCACAACAAACTTGGCATTCTCTTTCCTCTTTGGAAGTTACCAGGGTATGTTCCTAACTCACTATTCACTATTATAATGGAAGCAACAAAACTGCTCCCAGCAGGGTGGAGGAAGAAATAGCTTGAACTGGAGACAAAACTGCTGAGGGGCAAACTGGACCTCAAAGTTGGCAATTAAGGGAGAAAACTGTTGTCTCCAAGTTTTATGGAGGAGAGCCAGAGGAGCAACTCAGTGTCTTTTAGTGTATATGTGTGTCGTATCACTTAGAACAATTACCTATAAATGTTTCCTTGCCTTTCTATGATGTCATTACCTGTCAGTGCGCTGTGTTTCCACTTGTGATTGACATTAAAAAAATGGATGTCAGCACTTCAGAATGGAAAAACAACAATGAAATCTGACTCTACATACGTCAGAGAAATTAACTTAAAACTGTTATCTTGTCCTTCCCATGTATACAGCTTTCCTAATAAGATGGTTCTGGGAAGAACCCATATAAAAGATGTAGCAGCTAAAAGAAAAGTGGAGCTCAACAGCTACATACAGAGTCTGATGAACAGCTCTCCAGAGGTGGCAGAAGTGAGTTCAAATAACTTAAGCAAATCCAATGCAGGTTTTCAGATTTGGTGCCTGTTAATGCTCAAACTAATATGTAACATTTCTTCCAAATTTAGTGTGATCTTGTTTATACTTTTTTCCATCCATTACTTCGTGATGACAAAGTGGAAGGAATAGATGGAATAGCCAGACCTACAGGTAGGTAATGTTTTTGGGGGGTGTTTATAAATTGGATGACTATAGTATGACACCTTAACAATGTGGTTTATTTTTTTTAATCTTTTTTGATTAATCATAGTTTTCTCTCATTGAAAACTTTGCATCACTGTCTTAATGTGCCTGCATACAGTTTCAAGGAAATAAAGACATATGAAAAATTCCAATGATACATGTGATCGCTTGGGCTTGCTTACGACTTGACTAAATTATTCTAGTCTTTACTTTTTCACTCTAAACCTCCAAGTTGGTTCTTAAAAGAGAACGCAAAAATCTTTAAACCCTGTGGCTTTGACCTTTTATTAGGGAACGAAAAATAAAATCAGAAACTGAACTTGGTCTAAGGCTTGTATTTTTCCCCCCATATATAATCAGTCAGTGTCGTACTGATGAAAATGTATAAAAATTGCAGAGGAAATAATTGTATATCTTTTTTCAGATGCAAGTCCATCAAGTCCTACCTCAGGCAAAGTGGGAGGAGAAGTGAAGCTGTCCATATCATATAGAAATAGCACTCTGTTTATCATGGTGATGCACATTAAGGACCTGGTGAGTAGAGATACTGAGCTGACTGCCAAAACCTGTTCCCATTTTGTTAATTACCTTCTTGACTTAGGTTGATGCAAGTGGGACTATCTCTCTTCCTTCCAGTTTTCCAGCCGCCAACTTAACTGCTGCTTTTGTCTAGCTCGGTTTGCAAAATCTAGGTATTTAAACATTCAAATGGGTGTGCACTAGCTAGTGTTGTAACTTGTCTTGGTTTTGGGTTGTAGGTTACAGAAGATGGTGCAGATCCAAATCCTTACGTAAAAACATACTTACTTCCAGATACGCACAAAACATCCAAACGCAAAACCAAAATCTCCCGGAAGACAAGAAATCCAACTTTCAATGAAATGGCAAGTTAAAATTTATCTAGTAATTCCCTGTGGTTTACTATTGCCTCTTACTCTAAGCAGTAATTAAAATATTGTCTAAAAAAAACTGTGAAGATATGTAATGGAAAAGGAACTTGTTTCAAAAACTTTGTGCCTTGTTTAAAAACACACACAAAACAAACAAACAAAAAAAATCAAAAAAAACCAAAGGAACTGAGTAGGTAGACATACTGTTACAAGTAAGCAGAAATTTCTCAGACTGAGTGATGGTGAAAGGGAAAGGAATCTTAAAGCTAAAGATCCCCCTGGCCCAAGTTCACTGATTCATAATGTGGAGAAGAATGAGTTCAGAAGTCTTGACGTGTAAACAGTACTTCCATCTAAAAATACTGGTCCTTTTAAGACACTTAACATTAGGAGCACAAAATAAAATAACGACTGTACTTCAGCCCCATACTGAGTGTTGATAATGTGCAGTTAAGACAATCTTACTCGTGGCTTGGCAGTCAGAAGAAAGGGCAATCTGTTTAACTTCATTTGGATAACCAAAACATTCTTGACTTCTTACCTTCTAGCTTGTGTACAGTGGATATAGCATGGAGACTTTGAAACAGAGAGAACTTCAGTTAAGTGTGCTCAGTGCAGAATCGTTACGCGAGAACTTTTTCTTGGGTGGAATTACACTCTCGCTAAAGGACTTCAACTTGAGCAAGGAGACTGTTAACTGGTATCGACTAACTGCTGTACCGTATTTGTGAACTCGCTTCTGCACCTGAGTAAGACCAGAACAATTGTATTCACTTGTGCTTTGTGCATCTTCCTACTTGAAGATAACTTGTACATCTTAAAATAAGAGACTCCGCATTTCAACAGATATGTTGGACCAATGTTCATGTAGCCCAATTTGAAGGATTTCTATAAAACCTGGTTTTTGCTTATGCGATGTTATCAAAGCATTATTGTAAATGTTTGAGTTGTGGGTAAAGGAGGGGATTTTTAAACCATCCATGAAAGTGAGGTGAACAGTTTGACCATGCTGGTTGGTTAAACCATAACTTAATCATTAGGCCCGTGGATATAGCGTGGGTTTGCTTTTCATTTTTCTTGCCTTTGTTGTCGTCCATGGCATGATGCTGGAGAGCATCAAAGCAGTGACGACATGTTTTCAGGATTACATTCCTGCTACGAACTAGACATCACAGAAGCAGCAACGGGTAAACTTTTGGTGGCTTCACAAACACCTGTAGAAATGAAGGTTGAAGGGCTGGAAAAATTCCTTAGTGTTGCTTTTAATTCCGGATTCATGATTCTTTAAGACTTAGTGGAGTGAGTGCCAATAATGGAAGGTGTAAATAATGGTGCCTTATAATTCAAATGCTTCTCTTACCTCATTTCTGGTATTTAAATACGTATACACATTAACTTTCAGCTCCTTAGAACGGGGGGGCGTTCTCATATTTGATACCTTGCAGGTCCTACTGGAAGTCTTTTCCTGAGATGTGTTATTTACAAATCCCATCACTTATTCCGATCTTCACAGTTAGTGCAACTTATATTTTTCTACCCTTGATCTTCAAAATTTGAATGAAGAGTGGCTGAATCTGGTGCTGTAGGAAATGTGCCCAGCTTCTCAGTGTTTCGAAATGTCTTAATTTCTAGAACTTTTAAATACTGCAGTGAATAAATGTGGAACAGATTCAGACACTAAATCCAAAGTGGCCGTTGCACCTAAATTACGTACCTGTACCTCTAGGTTAAAGGATGGCCTTTAGTTGGAAACCACAACTGCTGGGTGAATTGCAGGCCAGAAATGAGTTTCATTAACTGAGCCTTGAGAGAGGAACTTGGTCACTTTTTTTTTTTTAACAGATCACAGCAACACTGTTTCTCACTCCCACTAAGAAATTAATTCCACCAGAAATACTTAATTCCAAGGAACATTAGGTTTGAACGATATTGTGACAGAGGAGTACAAATGTCACTTACTGTCTCCCGTTAATACCACTGGTTACCTAATTAGGTGTTTATGCACTACAGGTGTAGCCTTTTTATTCACCTTGGCGTTTAGGATGATCGTGTCCTCTCTAAACAAAGCTGTAGAATAAAGTTGCACGCTTTTCTTTTAGTACTAAATCTTGAAGCAAGACAGACTATCACCACTGACTGACTAGAGTGAAATTTTGAAGTAAAATATGCAACTACGAACAAAGACACAATACAGGGAAAGCCTTCTATATACCCTATATACCTATTTCATAATCTGATCTTTTCCTTCCCCTGCTACTGACCAATCTCCCTTCAATACAGAAGAGAGAAGTAAACTTGAATCTCCTGGTGCCTAAAATAAAATAGTCACGGTCCAATTTCGTAGCAATTAATACAATTAAAAAGCTAAGAATATCTTGAATGTTAGAAACTGGGTTGATACTAAGGGGCGCTAACAGATCCCAGTTTTATTAGGCATCTTCTGCATATTTTTCATATATATATAGCCTGTAAATAGTAAACTATATAACTAACTAGATATATTTCCTGCTCACTTGATGCTTTTGAGACTTACTCCATTCCATCATTAGAATCACAAGTCACTTAAACACAGGAAAGTAGACTACTGTTTTTGTGAAACGTTCCATTGTGAAATAAAACAAAAGCAATATGTACTGCCTTTTTTGCAGTTTGCTATTAAAGCACAGTGTCTTACAGCACAAAATACAAATAAACTAAAATCATTTAAAAAATGATTTGCAGTTTTAACAGTTGTCTGGACTCTGAAGAAAAAAAAAATGTATAGTACTGTATTGTTGTTAGCACTTGTCCCGACTTCTAATTTAATTTTCATAGCTCAGCTCATTTTGTGCCTTTCCCTTCCTTTTGAAAATAGTCACTGGCTGAAGCTTGTTATAGTCTTGGGTTTTATTTTGTCTGTGGGATCTGGCCTTGGCCTCTCCTCACGCGTAGAGGAACAGCCCTGAGCTTGCACCTCTTTGCACTATTCTCAATTAAGAAAGAAGTAATTGTTGCAATAAGACTTTAATGTACTGCGTACAAAAAAAAAAATATATATATGGATGTGAAAGAGGAAAACATTCAATGGGGATGGAATTTACCAGTATGCTGAATAGTGTGAAACTGTAGTTTTAACAGCTTTTTATATCCTGTTTCATGGTAAGAAAATCTTTTATGCAACGTGTGACCTGCAGCCAGAAATACGGTTGTCTGTGCAGACCTTGACAGCTCGTGCGAAGACCTCTTCCCTTCTCCCTTAACCTGGGACTTTGCACTGAGACCTATTTCTGCCTTTCTACCCCCTGCAGCTGCCTGTCTCTGGAAGCACGTGCGGTCTTTCCTAGAAGTTCTTTCCACTATTTTCACAGCGAGGGGGATGTAGAACCCCCCTCCCCTTCCCTCCCTTCC